TTAATTAATTTATTTTTTATGGTGACGTTGGTTAACAAAATCTAATAAGTTTCAGCTGTACATTTTAACTGTAAGGCGTATGTATATTTACCCTGCGTGTTCATTTATTTATGTTCTTAATGGTGTTTTATTTAAAAACTTTTTTTATAGAAATTAAACTGAATGTATATATAAATGATAGAGACTTCCTGGCATCTCTCTTCCGCCCACCCAGATCCTTGTCACTCCTTGTAACCGAACCACCACTTTAAATTTCTCGTATCTTCCTGCATTTCTTTATGCAAATACAGATAAATACGAATATTTTCCCTATCCTTCTTTCTCCCCTCAAAGGTTCCCTACATACATTGTTTTCTTTATTTTGCTTTTTTTTTTCATTTGACACTATCTTACTTTTGTGAAAACTGGACCATCTAAAAGTTTGTGTGTGCATAATTTCTTGATAACACTGAATATGGCTTTCAGTCTCCATCAGCTGGCGTAATAACTCTGCAGAGACTATACCTTTGGCAGTTTTACTTAGGCTTATTCTTGTGATTTTAAGTACTTCCTGCCTAGCTCTAAAGAGGAAAGCCTGGCACCATTTTCAGAAGTCTCAGAGTTAATAAAGTAGCTCATATTTCAACCTTTATGTGTACAGAATATATATTTCTTAGCACTCTCAACAGCGGTATTGTCTCAGTTCCTTTTAGCATTTGTCTTCCACGGGAACCAATTACTTCACAAAAAAGAACATTTAGTTACTATTCTGAAAAACTGCCTCTTTGTTTTCGTGGTCAGAATTTTAATCTTCCTTACAACCCTGCCAAACTTCCCCATCTTCCCTTCCCTCCAGAAAAATAAACAAAAATCTAACTCAGACTCTTATTTTGTAAGCCATCCTCATAGAATTGGGGAAAATGAGATATTGGAAAGTTCTGTTTCAGTGAAACAGTAAATTTTGAAAGATTTCATTGCTTCAGTAAACATCTGTTTAAATAGAAGTAGTTTGGTAGTTGAAGGACAGTAGACAGGATCACGGAGGAGCAGGAAAGAGCGCTGGACACTGTCAGAGGATAAAGCCGACGTGTGCTTTTTTCCACACGTAGTCGTTCGGGGCCTGTGGCTCAGAATACAGAGTCAGCGTAGTAACCAGAACGGACACCTGCCTGTGGCGTGGCGGTTATTCGTTAAATTCTGAGACTCCTTAGATAAAATTACTTCTCAGATTCCTCTTCTGAAATATGAATCGCCATTTCCTTTATGGAATTCCTTCTCGAAAGCACTTAAGGGTATACTGATTGATGTTTGCTCACGGGCCATGTGAAAGTACTGGTTGTCACTTCACATATTTTGTTGGATGAAAGCAAATTTCATGATGTCAATAATGGAGAATGAATTTGTATTTCTTCATTCATCCACTAAAGCATGTTTCTTGAGGCCTGTTGCGTGCTAAGTGGTGGGGAGATAGTGCTGAGCGAGCTCGAGGAGCCTTGTGGGCCTGCCTGCTCTTGGTCACATCCACACTTGGCTTCCTGTGCGCAGTCAGCAGGTGAGCTTGGCGTTCGGGATGACTGGTCTTGGGTTCAGGTCCTGACTTGGCCCTTTATTTATCGTGAGGCCTGAGGAACTTGAACAGAGTCCGTTCTTCATCTGCAGATAGGGACTCATGCAGGGTTGCTCGAGTGACCTAAGCTGTGTGGCAGCGTCCTTATGCAATTCAAGCAGCGGTCACTCTCCTGGGTCCCTCGCATTTTCTAGCTGAATTCTCCTCGGCTGCATCCGGGAAAAAATTGTGGAGTTTGAGAGTCAGAGGATGATTATGCCTCTGTCCTATTTTCTCGTTTGATTCCCAAGGTGCTCTCAGCTGCCTTACCTCCTTCGATCATTAGGCTAGGGAGATATTTTTACTCTATAGATGAGGACTTCATGCATGTCGAAGTTATCCAGTGGAATGAGTGGGACTAATCACCGATCCCTGGCTCAGCGGCCTGTCCACTGCCCGCTGTGACCCTTGGATTGTAGAGTCCCCTTGTCAGCACAAGAAAACCATTTAATGAGAAGCACTTAGGAGCGCAGTCTCCAAATCATAGTCTTCATTTCAAGTTGCTCTCCACCTATGGCTCTGCAGCCTTCAGCCAGTAACTGGCGTCTCTGTAATAATACACTAGGGGATTGATTAAATGCTGTAATTAAAAGAAACAGCACGGCCGGTATATAACTGGATGTAAAAACGTAGTAAAAGCCGGAAGATTAGGCCAGGGACCTGTGAACTCCATTCACCATAAAGGAGAGAGGGAGCAGGAGAACCCACCGGATCACCAATTCCTCAGTAAAAGCCGGAGCGTGTGCCGCAAGGCTGGGCAGCATAGCTGCGATGCCATTTTACCTTTTACTTTTGGTTTTGTTTTGAATTCGGGCTTGCCGGGCCGTGTGGCGAGAGCGGAGCTGCGGGCAGGCGCTCCGGAGCTGGCAGCCTGAGCTCAGCCTAGCAGCCCCACTGCTGGCTGCTACTTTGTGCCTCAGTTTCCTAATCTGCACAGAGAATGAGTTCTTACATGTCAAAATGAGTTTTAAATCAATACCACGTAGTGAGTAAACAGCGATTGTTTTAAAGGGGACTTTTGAGCCGTTTCATCTGCAAAAGAACATCTGGAGACACGGGAATAGAAGTGATCCGATTGGAGTGATTAAAGGCTTTGCGGAGCTTCGTGTCCCAAGCAGGACACGCTCAGTCAGCCTGCAGCCGCGAAGCCATCTTCCCCCATAAGGTGGGTGTCTGTCCTTTAGGAGTAGAGAATGGGCTGAGTAATACAAGCAGGGAGGCCTGTGACTCGTGGTGGTCGTGTCCCCTTTTATTTGAGAGAGGGCTCCAATGTCGGCCACTTCTTCCTGCCGGTAGACATCAGGGGTCCTCTCTCCGTGGACGGGCGCGGCACGCCTTCCAGGACCGTACGTTTCTTAGCGCGTGTAGTGAACGTCTGGTTGGGGCGTGCGCGTGTCTCCTGCTTTCCCATCCACGGCGCCAGGCAGGGTGTGGATTGTCTGTGCAGTCCTGTCCCGAGCCTGCGGCCAGGGCTCGGCTGTAAAGGTCAGCCTTTCCAAGCCTGTTTAAAATCTTGTCACTCTACAGACACTCAAGGAAAGACAAATAACATGTGATTTCACTTACATGTGGAATCCAAAAACCAAAATGAACAAAGCAGAAACAGACTCATAGATTGGGAGAACGGGACTGATGGTTGCCAGATGGGAGGGGGTGGGAGGGATGGGTGAAAAGGTGAAGGGGATTCAGTATACAAACTGCCAGTTATAAAATGAGTCACGGGGGCTGTGAAGTACAGCATAGGGAACACGGTCAGTAATAGAGTAATAACCATGTACGGCGACGGCACCGGGCTTATCCGAGTGATCGCTTCATTAGTTGTATAAGTGTCTAATCTCCATGTTGTATACTTGAAACTAGTTCACTATTGTATGCCAACTGTAATCGAAAAATAAATTGAAAAAAAATCCTGTCACCCTTTCCATCGCCACCTTTTAACATTTTTCTAGCTTTATCGAGGCATAGTTGACAGATAAAATTGTAATATGTTTAAAGTGTACAGCATGATAACTTGATGCGTGTATACACTGTGAAGCGATTCCCACAGTCTGGCTAATTAACACATTCATCACCTCACTCGTTGGGTGGGGGGTCCACTTTCTACTACGTTGTTTTGTTTCAGTAAAACGAATGGTGCAGTTTCACTCTGGACGCCTGGACGCGGACTTCGTGGAGCCCTTCCAGAGGAGTTAGGGACCTCGTGGAGCCCTTCCAGAGGAGTTAGGGACCTCGTGGAGCCCTTCCAGAGGAGTTAGGGACCTCGTGGAGCCCTTCCAGAGGAGTTAGGGACCTCGTGGAGCCCTTCCAGAGGAGTTAGGGACCTCGTGGAGCCCTTCCAGAGGAGTTAGGGACCTCGTGGAGCCCTTCCAGAGGAGTTAGGGACCTCGTGGAGCCCTTCCAGAGGAGTTAGGGACCTCGTGGAGCCCTTCCAGAGGAGTTCGTGTGTCCCTTGCAGCAGATGCTTGATTTCAGGAGCAAAGTGTATATCCCTACTCCGTGTGAAACTCTCAGAGCTCACTTACCAAAGTGAGTGAGAAATCAAGTGTCCCTGCCCTTCCTGGGCCCGCAGACTGAGATGGAGCGAGCGCGTGCGCAGATATTCTGGTCCTGTTCGAAGTGGCTGAAGAGCTGAGAAGAGTGTGTCCCGGAGCACAGCAGGCCCAGTGCCGAGCTCGGGGCCTCGAGAAGGCTGCACAGAACAGGCTGTGTTTGAGCGGGGTCTTGAGAATGAGTGGGGCTGAAGGATTGGGAAGAGAGGCCAGTTCACTTAAGGCCATTAAGAACTCCTCGAGCTGGGCGCCAGGCACTAAGTGTCAAAGAAGGGGACACTGGTCGCTCTCTCGCTGTGCTGTCTTTTCTGTGCTGCCATCTTTAAAGCTGAGTAGATGTTCATTCACCAGGTGACTGCCACCTGTCCCAGGCCACCTGAAAGCACCTGCCGAGCTCTAAAAGCATCTCTTCTGCGTAGCGTTCCCGCTTCCCGGGGCCGCCCTGACAGAGTACTGCAACTTGGGGGCTCAAACAGTAGAGATTTATGGTCTCTCAAGATCTTTTCTTTTGAGGCTATGCAGAGAATCTGTTCTAGGCCTTTCCCTGAGCAGCTGGTGACTTGCTGGCAGTCTTTGGTGTTCCTTGGCTTCTAAATGCATCACCTCAGCTGCTCTTCATGTCTGTGCCCAAATGTCCCCTTTTTATAAGGACACCAGTCATACTGGATTAGGGGCCCACCCTGCTCTAATATGACCTCATCATAACTACTTACATCTGCGAGGACCCTATTTGCAAATAAAGTCGCATTCTGAAGGACTGGGGGTTAGGGCTTCACCATGAATTTTTGGGAACGCAGTCCAACCCGTAACACCCTCTGTCCACTCTTCCTGCCTCCCACCACTGGACACTTTCTCCTTCCTGATTGATACATAAGTAGTTTCTGTAGTTTTTTCTCTTTGGTGCCTTGCACATAGTGTGGAAAGTAGCTCTAGGGAAGGTATGCTAACCACGTGGAGTTCATAGGAATAAAGGAAGGCACTGCAGAGGTCACC